CATGCATGTACCAAGGCTCTAATGTCTGCCCAAAGTAATGTTTCGTCCTGCACGCCAAACCATCAACTCAAAGCACAAGGGAAACGTGTGGAAGGCAGTGGGAACCAGCTCTGGTGAGTGTATATTTTTTTCCCTTTTTTTCGAATTTTTATGTCTTCGATTATCAGTTAAATCAAACAAATTGTGAAAAAAATGCTTCAAATTTTCCAAATATTCTTAAAAAGAATGCGCTTTCAAATAAACCTTCATTCCTTGTTTTAGCTCCACTTTTTAACGTCACACCGTGGATTATTTTTAATATCTATGTCTCAAATGATGGTTCTATTGCCGTGCCGACTGGGAAGAGGCAACTCCTAACACTAAGACTCAAACACCTACCAACAGCCTGCAAGCAATGGCATTGAAGTCGTGAGCCCGTGCTCAGTGTTGCGTATCTAGCTCATGCAACATGATATTTAGAGCTCAACATCTTACAGCTCAACATCTATACATTTACACGTGAAAACACATTTAAAAGTGGAAAGTAAATAAGTAAGGCCAAGTGAAAATGAGCGGCATTAATTTTTAATTCCACAATCGTATTATGGAATCGTATTATAGGGGCCAGTCCACTCCTGGCAAAGAGTACTGACTTGTACTCATATGGGGTGTGTATTGCCAATCGAAGCCAAAGTTTTTGACATGTTACGCACTGAATTATGTAAGCATTTTAGCTTCGCTGTTATTGAGACATTTATATTGGTAATTATACAACCACTCATGAAACATTCGAATTTATGCCCTTCATGAACGTCATTGAAAATGTCTAGGATTTTTGAGAAGTCGAACCACCGAAGCTTTGTAAACGATATGATGATTCATGCTGCTGAATCAGTATAAATCATCATGTTGGCCTCATTTGTACGCATGGTGACTTTATTTATTGGCCATGTTGAGTGGAGGAGAGTTTACGACAAACATTTTAACTCACGCGATCTGACCCAAAAATCTATTACAAGTCACCATTGAAGCAGTTTATGAAGTTTAGCATTTGATCAGCATTTGAGGAGACTGATAGGGCGCCGCAGTGGTGAGATGTTAACGACCTCGCCTGATACACATGAGGTCGTGGGTTCGATCCTGACCCCGACACCTGTACATTTGGAGTTTGCATGTGGATTTTCTCCAGGTCCTCCGGTTTTCTCCTCAACATTTAGAAACGTACGTTCGAGTATTTGGCTGCTGTAAATATCCACACGATAATCCACTTCGTTGAGCTATCATTTGTGGCCAGGTCGCTTCTGAAAAAGAGCTATATAGCTCATTGGGCCTGACTTGGAAAAAAAAAAATATAGTTAAATAGAAAGAGATAACTGGGCAGTAGTAGGGCACGTGGCTGCCTGTAATCCAGCACTGTGGAGGCAGCGAGGGTTGGTGGATGACACCAATTACAAAACGTTGCGAGACTCCCCTACAATAGGCGTCGAGGTGCAATACCCTGGCTAGCCAGCAAAATTCAGTACAGCAAAGTGTGGACTGATATCGTCTGTCCCTTCTATACGGGATAGAGCGTTGCCCCTTCGCACGAGTGGGGTTTTTTTCCGGGTGCTCCGGTTTCCTCCGACGTGTATGAACACTCACTAATTAACTGAAAACATCTCAATATATATAGAACTGCAGAACAATTGTTGGCACTGGCTCAACACCGCCAAGCAGCTTTCGAGCTTGGTCTGTGGTGAGATGCAGTTGTTATGAACGACACTTGATAAAATTAATTATGAGGTTATCAAGAGATTTTGATTTAAAGCTTTCGTGACTGCAGGGATTCATATTCTTGGTTCTTTCGGTAAAGTCACAAAGAAGGGAAACAATAAAATAATAAGTATATAAAACAATAAAATTCTCACGACGTTTCGACTGTAACACAAGATCAGGTGACTTTACTGAAAGAACCAAGAATATGTTATCAAGAGATATTTACCTCATTAAATGAAAGTCATTAAGCTGGCATGTAATGTGAACTAAATTAACACCAGATAATGAAATTCGTTTAACTGAGAGGTATAATAAATCAGTATAATATCTCAAACCAATATGGGAAACGATTTGCTAGATTTTACATTCAAACGCTAATTGACTCTGTAAACGGATGCTTTCTACCGTCGAACAAATACGTTCACTTCTTCTTTCAAAACAGGTACATAACTAGAGGGCAGTGATGCAGTCAAAGCACGTAGTGTGGTCATCATCATCACAACTATTCCCAAAGTTGTCCAAGTGTGTCACGACAAGGTACCTATGTCTAAACAAAAAAATATATTTTTTTATTTACCAGCTAAGGCCCACTGAGTTATTAGCTCTTTTTCAGAAGCAACCTGGCTATCACAAATGATAGCTCAACAAAGTGGCTTATGTGTAAATGTATAGCAGCCCAATGCTGTAAACGCATGTTGATGCTAAATGTGGAGGGAAAAACCGGAGGACCCGTGGGAACATCCATTCGACCACGGGGAAAACATGCAATCTCCAAATATACAGCAGCAGGCGTCAGGGTCGGCATTGAACCCACAACTTCCTGTATACCAGGCGAGGTTGTTAACATCTCCGAGCCACCGTGGCACCCCATGGACCACATATCGCAAGAGAAGTTCAATACGGGGTAGTTTAAAAGATCAATGGGGAAGCTGCTATTAGCACATACACAATAACATAAATTGGAATGTAAAATATTTTCATGCTAAAATATGAGGGAAAAAAAAACTAAATTGCTTTTTGTAACCCATGAACCATATTCCCCCCCCAAAATGAATCCAAAACGCATCACTATGACATGTGTTGTTGGGCAATAATGCGCTTTAAGTTACAAGGAACTGTAATCAGCTTTCAGTAACCAGGTACAGAGTGACGCGGTGCTATTAAATTCGTAATCAGCGTGAAATCATATTTCCCAAAAATTTAAAACAAAAACGAAGGTGCAAAAAAAACGCGTTAGCAGTTTATTATTATTAATAATTAATTTAGAGACCCGACCAAAACACACCGAGATCATGCTGCACAGGCTACAGCCAAAGCATGGTGCCAGCATGTGAGCTTAAGTTATTATAAGAAATGAATCATAAACGTAATGTAATCAGATTATTTTACTTTAGTAATGCCAAATATTTGATTGTTACAGGAAATCGTCTTTGAACCTATCCATGTGATTTTACCGAAAGACCCAAGAATATTAATTCCTGCAGTTACGAAAGCTTTAAGTCAGGAAATAGTCACTTTTCTCCTATAATTACTTGCCACCCTCCCAACAGGACTAACATAAGCAGAACTTAATTTTGTCTCCCCACATATAAAAAAAACAATAATGAGTCCACCAGGCCAACATAATCAAGCATTATTTGTTTAAGCAAGCAAACTTTGGACTGCTTTCAAATTTCTGGGTCTCATCAGCAGTATCGGGAATACCAAATGGTATTGACCAGCGTGTGTTCATTTAACCAGGCAAACGCCCGTTGAGAACCGTTCACCATTATTTGTAGCCTCACTTGTTGAAGGGGAATTGAGTAAAAGATAATAAGAATAGCAAACGTAATAATACTTTTTTGTATATTTAAAACGTGCTGCAGATTACAACCCATCGTGTTTTAACAGCCGTGAAGATGGACAGATGTTGTTTATAACACATATAAACAGAAACCGTTAAAACAATGTCCATGTTTAGTAGCCCATGGTCAATAAGCTTCTTCTGTTAAAAAAAAAAATGCCATGAGGGCCCAGCTCTAAGCTAGGATTTTTAATGAATATTTTAAAAACACTGTTTGCAGATAGTGGGACACCCAAATCATTTGGGGTTTGGCACCATATCAATCTCGGGTGCATCTCATGTCTGATTAATGTGCCACCTATTCCCAATGCTGTGAATAACTTTCCTTTAAATGAATAATTCACAGGCTGTATTTTTTTTTATCAACAATGTATCCAAACAAGGTCCGGGATAACCAAACGCTCACGTGCACGTCTCATGCCCCCCGTTTGTTATTAATATATTAAAAAAAACATTCTGGAACCAGAGTGCCAAACAGCGGGGGGTGCCAACTAAACGGGACAGCTTGGAATCGACAGCCCAATCGCAGCTGTCGTCCAGTAAATTCAACAAGGCGTTATCCAAGGGCCCAAAATTATATAACAACTGTACAGAGTAGGGGTTAGGCAGTGGTGCAGCAGCTCGCACTTTTCATCTGTGAACTTGGCAACTCGAGCTAAATGCTTGGTCACGGCTAACACCCCCTTCACCAACCTCCACTGGCCCGTGCGATGAAGCATCGTCAAATAAGCCCCATGGCCTACACAGCAGGGCGAGGCCTTTCAGGCAGCAGTTGATTACCAAAGAGTTGGGAATAATTCGTTGCGTTTACCGTATGGCGACACAGTGTTGGCTATAACTTGACCGGCACAACCTAGCCCCGAGCAATGTGGTGGCTGTGGTAGCAAGGTGCTGCCGTGCGAGTGGGTGAAGCGGAGTTTAACATGTAGGCCTTCACGACCAGTATTACTCATAATAAATTCTTATGGGTGAAGTGGAGTTCGAGGTTTGTTGGGGTAGGAGTGGGAGTGTGGAGGAGCTCTGAGGTGTACTGCAAGTGCATCATCGCTGAGTGTATCAGAACTCTGACCCTCAATGTTACCCAGGGAGTAGGGGCCTTCTGTGACTCATCCTCTTATCCGCATCTCACTGATTGTATTAACCACAAAGCTGCAGATAAAATAAACAACGCAGATGAAGAGGAATTGGAACATCCTCAAATTACCTGTTTTGTTAATGGACAGGAGTTGAGTGGCAATGTCATCCCGTAACCGCGGGGTTTCGGTGCGAAACAGGACTTGGGTTTACGGCCGATTCAGATGGTAACGCTGCAGGTAAGAGGAGTTTTGCTTATCCGAAGTGAGGTCCCTTGCTTCCTCACGGATAGGAGCAGTTTCACTGTTGGTGTGAGTGGGGGTGGGCGGGGGGGTGGGGGGCTCCGCACTTGATTGCCTCACACATGTCGATTCCCATCTTCACGCAGTTCTTGGCGTGGGATGGCAGGGAAATGGGCAGGCCCGACACGCAGTAGTAGCAGTCGCCCAGGATCTTGATTCGCATGCAGTCGTTATCCTGCGTGGCAACGGCAGCGCCAGCATTACACTGAAAACTGTACGAGACAATTATACTTAAGTGTTCCGATTTCAATGTTAAAAATAACTTGTCTCAGCATCTCCCTCTTGCAGTCTGTTCGGATTCGGAAAAAAAACTACAACACCCCTTTTCCATTGGCACGTCTCAGCCAAGCCAGCGTGGAGCTCCTCACAGCATGGATAATTTTTCGCCGGCTATTTTCCGTGCCGAGCCAGATCCAAATTTGCAAAACGTTGAACTCGCGAAATATCGGAATCTGGCGTGGAACCAAGCTGGCCAGGAGCGTGGCCGATGGTGTGTTAATAGCGAGCAGCATCAGTCGTACACTGAGGACACTGCTTCACCGTACCATCTACGTGGGTCTCAACTCGATTATTGCACATTAAATTAGCGGCCCAGCTCGGTTTCTGTAGTAGAAAAAAAAACACAATGTTGTACCTCCTGAGCTGCAACTGGTTGGCTCGGTTATACCAGTGGTGTTCGAACTCGGGCAACTAACTGCGATCAATCAGCTTCTCCAGTATCGCTGGCTGATGTTCTCACACTAGTCAACCGATGAATGCATGAAAAAAAACCACCCATCGTATAAATTTAGTTTTGTCAATTTGTTTTTGCTCAGATCAGCTATTAAAATTGAAAGCCGCCTTTCACAGGACCGTCAACGAGTGTTGGGTAAGACACACTGAAGTGACTCCAGAATTAATTCAGTAGCGTTATTCCCAGGTCGTGTCCTGATGTTTCACGATGTTCTACTGACTGACACAATCCCAGCAGAATGTTTAATGTCCCATGTGTCCTCTTAAAAATTAGATTCCTGGCCATGGCTGACATTGGTGATGAGTGATGTCCAAACCAGTCCCTAGGAACCCTCCTTCACCAAGCTGCATTGACCAGCGTGGTGAAGTGTGCTCAAACAAATCCAACGACTGACTTGAGTCATAATTATTTTTTTTTGCATCATAAATCCTCCTCCACCCAACATCCGACAAGGGATGAGAGGCACCGGTTACCCGCACGCGCAAGCTCACCTTGGCGATCTGGTCAAACTTGCCGAACAGCTGGTTCAGGGTGTGGACAAGTTCTGCAGGGGAGCAGTCGCTGGCCAGCCGCGTGAACCCCACGATGTCGGCATAGAGGATGCTGCACGCAAAAAAGACAAAGACCCCCCCCCCCCCCCCCCGTCTATCCTTAACAGACTGTCGGGGCAAGTGTTGTTAGCGAGTTGCACCTATGAAGGCCGGCACGGCACACGAGGGGGTGTGTGGCCAGCACCATGCCCGGCCGCGTTTGTCTCCCGAGTGGTGATGTACACACACCGCACCAAGTACTCATTTGAGGCTGAGTCGACCTAGGGGGTGGGGGGCAGGACCGTTTCAGATAAGCCGGGTTGGTAGTGCAGCGCGTTAAACCGCGATGCTGCTGCTGAACGCCACAAACACACAAACACACAGAGACGACACCACAAAGAGATCCCCTATTCACGTTAATCCTTGCAGATCGCGAAGGCGAGCGCTGTTAGCGAGCACCTGTCAAAGCAGGTAAGGCAAACGAGGAAAGGCGGTGAGGTCAGAATCGCGCCCCCGGCGGGTTTTGTCTGCGCGGGGCTGACGTTGAGCGCACTGCATCGGGTAACCACGCCAGGCTACGTCAACTTAGAAGAGGACCATAACGGCTTCAAGATACAACCTCACGCTGATGTGTGTTGGCCAAGAATCGAACCCAGGCAGCTGCAGTTAGACTGAAATGTGAAGAAAAAAAAAACCCACCGGATCATTGCTCCGCACAACATACACTATTTACAGAAGCGTACTTGGATATTCCTTTGATGCATACATTGATTTCTGCTAATGAATGATTATAAGATATACATACATACACACGCATACAGAGTACATAGCACGTGGATCATACTTTGTTAGTGCTACTGAAACATTTATCGCAACTCAAACATGTCATTAATAGGTGATGAAAAAGCAATAATTACAGCTAACAACAAGCTTAAAATATGCAGGCTCACGCCTCGAAAAAAATCCGCTAATTGGTGCAACTCTCCAGATATACAGCCTTAAAAACATAAATAGCCATAGGGCAACATTAATGAGCTTCTCACACTTTGCACGTACTCGAAATTAATATATTTTCAGCCGGATATTTACGGAGTGTCACCAATTATCCCAGAAAGCTCATGGGATAACTTAACAGCTCCAGATTCGTGCCAAACCAGCTTAGGCTACGCTTGACTTTTGTCAGCAATTGTAAACTCATTACCGTGCTATAAAGTTCTTCCATCGTGTTACCAGAACGCTGCTCGGTGTTATACGTTAAATTTATAAACCGTCGACCGGGCAGTATTTAAGTGTTTCGTGGTTCAGATCCCAATACCATATCAGTGAAGTTTTTACAGTAATGTTAAAATGGCATTGGCACATGTGTTGCTGTAATAATTTATATAATTAAAAATGTACGTAACAGATGGATAGGTTCAGGAAGATCATAATCATGTTTGAGAGGACCTCGCGACACCGCTAATAGCTTGGGTTCAGATCAAGGCTTTAAGCACTCGCGATTAAACCAAGGTCTCAATTGTGAAAACATTAATTCCCCTCCGTTATTTTGATTAACATGGGGTTGACAAATTATGGATGATGATTCACATTCATTAAGCGCTAAAATGCAAGGTTTATACGGATTTGTCAAATTTCCAGATGATAATTTTTGTTTCATTGCTATGCGACAAATGCTTTTGTCAGATTACATAACGGATATGCCACCTAATGTGGCATAAGGCACCTATTGAAGCGACTTCAGAAATGTGTTTGACATCAACTTCTCCAGCGGCAAATCCCTGACAGGATGTGAGCTGACGCTACTCCCAGCGAGAGTTATGTAAAGTATTTTCACCTCAAGACATGATGACGATACAGGTGAACATGAATTGTTGATTACAAAACATATGTTTGATCTAAATTCTAACGTTAGAATACAACATATTTGGAGGGGTGTGAAATCCGTAATTTATATAATGTACGTAAACTACGTATGTTGAATTGGAGGTGCGGAAATGCTAACTACTTATGACAATGTGGGGAAAAAGTAATTAATACATTATTTTCTCAAGCATTTTCCCATGTCTGTCAAAATACAGCATTTACCCTGTAATCAAAGGGTCTTCTTTATCATGTAAGTTTCAATCGAGTTATATTAATTCATTAAGGACTACGATTTGTATGCCATCGTCACCATTACTCATATTTCCCTGTCTTTGAAACACCAGTACATACTCTTAGTTGTGTGTGTGTGACATTGCAACACCAAGCACTTGTACACACAGAGACAGACTCGCTGCACACCGAGTCGTAGTGTGGCCAGCACCAGACCTGGCCACGTCTGTCTCCCCAGTGCTGATATTGACACCCACCACGAGACTCGTTATTAATTTTAGATTGCCTCAGTCTATGTACACGCACACTACGCACAAGCGCATGAGACATCGGCCATGAGCCTCAGAAACTGTTATGGCGAGTGCTGTTATTGAGCCTCTGTTTGCGATCACTCACTGCAAAAGTAAATGGGAACCCACGGAGCGTTTAACAAACCCTTGGAGCAACGCATTTACTAACGCCTGAAGTGTACACCGCAAGGTGGATGACTTTGTATCCCCAGTGCTGTTCTTTACACACTGCACCAGACACTCATTTGAGGTTGAATCAACCAAGCGGAGGCCCACGACCGGTTCAGATATTCGTCACTGGTTTTGGCCATGAGCGGGAATCGAACTCAGGTCGCTGGGTTCGTAGTGCAGCGCGCTATCCACTATGCTGCCGCTCCCCACGAGAATCACGACACAGACAAAGATTGCCCTATAGCTTGTAACAGACTGTTGGGGCAAGTGCTGTTAGCGAGCACCTATAAAGGCCGGCACGACACATGAGCGGGTGACTGGCCAACGCCACTCCTGGCTGCCTTTGTCTCCCTAGTGTTGATGTTTACACTCTGCACAAGGTACTCATTTGAGTCTGAGTCTACCTATGGAAGGCCCAGGACCGGTTCAGTTAATCATCACTGGCGTTGGTTGCGAGCGGGAATCGAACTCATGTCGCCAGGTTAGTAGGGCACAATGCTAACCACTACGCTGTTAAACACCTGCTCTGATTTAAAAAAAAAACTAAAACCCCACCGTGTGAAAATGGGATTCATTGGTACGGTGTTTACTCCCCGAATAAATTCCAAAACCTGTACCCACACAGCAAGGAGCCCAATCTGTTGCGTGATGAAATGAGGCAGAACATGGGCGCTGCTGGCTGCTGTATGGATCATCTCACGAGAGGCCCCAGGGGCACTGCGATACCAGGGCAACGCGGAGAGGGCATCGTCATCGTCCATCTCTGTTATATTTTCATCCTCATTTCCATGGCTGCACTTCACCAGACCTTGGCTTGCAGAAACTATGGCGTCCTTCTGTTCACAGGATACTTTGCCAAATTGCAACAAAAAGAATAAGGAGCTGGGCCTTGCCTTTTGAAACAGAAGGGTGACATTGAAAATGAAACCACCGTGGTTTTGGACCTTGCGAGAGGGCAAGATGACCCCCCTCCCCCCTTTTTATCATAAATGCTCTCAAAACAATTCAAAACACATTGTAAGTGCTTTCGCCGGCTTAACAAAAGGTGAGACACTATCAAGGTAGGTTAGCATCTTCAACACTGCGCATCCCCCCCCCTCCCCCCCAAATAGGCAGCCATTAACGTCCTCATTGTGTCCATCCTCCAAAAGAAAAAAACGGCCTCTCCAAAAAGCGTGAAATGGTGCTGTCACAAATTACGAGGGCAATTTCCTGCCACTTTGCTTTGACCTCTAGCTCCCCTAAGCTCCTAATTACTGGTCCTCTCAAAAGACAAGGCACTTCAGCAGAAGGCTCCTCATTGTCTCCTCAAATCACAGAATCCAGGTTGCCCCTTTCAGTCGGAGCTCACTTTGTTAATGGCACCGGTTTCCACCTGCAAAAATGCACCCACACTGTGCCTTATTTAATTTCCTCCCGAACAAAATGCATTTACACTTAACGATGTTTACAATCAGTCACAAGATGACAGCTGTGGTTGTTATCCTTTGAAGAACCCAAGGGTTCTCACAATAGGAATGTGGAATTTTCAATCCTGGATCAGCGTGATTGGAAGATCTCCCTGAGCAGGGAGACACTATGATTTGATGTTGACTCGATAAAGGTTTCAGTATTTTTTAAAGTTTAGTTTATTTTGAGGTACCCTGTGAGCTAAGAAGCTCTTGAATCGGGTTTCATCAACAAAAGCATCGTTTTCCTGTAAAACAAAACATACATAGCAGGTCGCAATAAAATAAAAAATAAATACATCATGAAGGAAAAATGGCAACAAATCACATAATGTCGAGTATATTCCAACATTTTATTTTAAATATTGGACTAAAGTGAGGATTATAATAATAAGGCATAAAACGCAAATGGTAAAATAGTTTCCCTGAGAAATATCAAATTTCAAGTTCGAGTAATAATTACAACAATCACGAGATTGCACCGAGTAAAATAATAGTGTCAATATATAACTAGGTCGCTTATAGGAAAATAAGGTGGCTGTGTGTGGCAGTGGGCTCACAGTATCTCAATCAGAGAATTTGAGCTCAATCTGAAACTACCCGTGTTTCAGTCCAAGCAGCCAGGTTCTTAAACGTAGACATTTGATGTTCCCAGCATACCAAATTGTCCAACAGTCACCGATGAACATACAAAGAGCTATGGTCACACATACAAGGTTTTGCTCACGTTATGCGGCTTTGGTTTGTGTGATTTCATGTATATGCGGCGAGCCTATTTCTACCCAAAATTCACTGGCATGCAGCTATGCATATAGCAAACACACACATTGTGTGTGTGTGCTATGTGCGCTACTCGGCAGGCAGCTTACTCGTGCGGTCAGGGGCGGAGCCAGGATTTTGACTTTGGGGGGGGGGGCTAACTTCAATATTCTGAGATATCCAGTGTATGTTTTCCAATGGGCGCCACAAATGTATAAAACAAATTTTATTGGATTTGAAGGCGGAGTTTATTAATAGGTCGGAGCCGCTGATGTGGCTAATAAGTTCGTGCTGCTCCTGCAGGGCAGCAC